CCCCAATAGATTGTTTTAGGGCATTCCTGATGCTCACTCGTGTCAGGGATTAATGTCAGACAAGTCTGTGCATGTCAGCGATGTTATACGATGTCCTCACCCGGCACACCACGTCCAGTATACATATCGTGATGGCTGTGGCTTCTACTTAGTCACGTGCCACCTACTGCAGTCTACCGGCGACATGACGAATATTCAGGAATAAATTAATCCCCAAACGCTGTACGTAATTATAGGTGGCACCATAACAGTAATCATCTGTCTGTTGTCTGGCTGTGTTTTTATGCGTGCGTGTGCAGATTCATGTGTGTGTGTGTATATGCATTATGTATGAGTGTAGTGGTTAGCGCGCTGCACTACTAACCCGGCGACCCGAGTTCGATTCCCACTCATGGCCAACATCGGTGACGATTATCTCAACCGATCCTGTGTCTCCCCTAGGTCGACTCGGTCTTAAATGAGTACCTGCTGCGTTGTGTAGACATCATCACTTGGGTGGTGTTGTCCAGCCATCCCCTTCGTGTGCCGTACCGCCCTTCATAAGCGTTCGCGGACAGCACTTGCCCTAATAGTCTGTTAAAGGCTATACGGCGAACCTTTGTCTTTGCCGTGCATCTGTGCACGCACGCGCGCGTGTGTGTGTGTGACAGTCGTGGGGAGCAGAGGTGGTGAATCTGCCAGTCATTTCTGTCAATTACCTGGGCCTGCCCCACGACCTCGCGCCAGCGAGCCCTCTTCCGACGGGGAGGTCACGGCCCAGTGGTGCCGCGCTCGCCGCTTGTTGCCGAGGTTGACGATGCCGAATCCGTCGACCCGCCCCCCTCCCCCCCCCACCGCCGCCGGTTACTACCGCGGCGCTGTGCAATCGCACGAAAACGTTTCTACTGCGCGCCATCTTGGTTCACGGCGGACGCTAAAGAACGCCGCGACGTCTTTCGGTCGAGAGCGCCGGGGACCACCGTGTGCCAATAAATAATTAGATGCATAAATACACCGCAAATGTACTCAACTGGGATCACACACGGGAATCATTGCGCCCGACCGGCAGACCGACGCATAGGGACAGCTGCCACGGGGGGTGCCCCTAGGCTAGGTCACAGAGCACCGATCATCCTCCCCGACTGGCAGGCCGAAGCCCCAGGTGGTCACTTTTGCAAATAAGGCCCCGTCCTGGTCTCTTGAGTTCTCACCTGGTTAAACAAAACTGTGAAGAAACAAGAAACTGCACCTAGCCTGGCACACGCACTGTGGTGACTCCACCGCCACTTAGACGCGAATGGTCCCCTCTTGTGTTGTCTATGCGGAATTTGCCTTTAGCCATCGGTCTGTTCACGGTGTGCTGACGCGCCTGTGTGTGTTGGGGAGCAGTGGCGCAGTGGTTAGCAAACTGTGCCACAAGTCCAGCCAACCAGGTTTGATTCCTGGCCACGGCTAACATCAGTGGCGAGCGATACCTGAACCAGAACTGGGCTTCCCCCTCTTACCAATTCATATATAGCGTGCGTACAATTTGGTTCAATCAAAAAACACTGCAATGAAAAAAAAAATCAGTTCATGATTTGAATCTCCACAGCGCGTGGTGACGTACGCTCACACAGCACCCCCATGACCGATGTGGTTCGAGAAGGGTTCGTGGAGCAGCACGCAGATGGGATGTGAAACTCCCTTCCCGTGAGCGTCGTGAAGGAGACGTACCCTGGCTCGCAAGGCGTACGGCGGTTCGGGCGAGCGGACCAATTCGCCAACTGTTTCCATCCGTACGTGGGGGATCGAGCATTGCCCCCTCTCGCAAGGCCGATGGGTTTTCTCTGGGTGCCCTGGTTTCCTCTCCACTTGTATTATCAGCAAGACTCCTCATTAATCGGCGAGCGGACCAATTCGCCAACTGTTTCCATCCGTACGTGGGGGATAGAGCGTTGCCCCCTCTCGCAAGGCCGATGGGTTTTCTCTGGGTGCCCCGGTTTCCTCTCCACTTGTATTATCAGCAAGACTCCTCATTAATCGGCGAGCGGACCAATTCGCCAACTGTTTCCATCCGTACGTGGGGGATAGAGCGTTGCCCCCTCTCGCAAGGCCGATGGGTTTTCTCCGGGTGCCTCGGTTTCTTCCCCACTTGTATTATCGGCAAGACTCCTCATTAATCGGCGAGCGGACCAGTTTGCCAACTGTTTCCATCCGTACGTGGGGGATCGAGCGTTGCCCCCTCTCGCAAGGCCGATGGGTTTTCTCCGGGTGCCTCGGTTTCTTCCCCACTTGTATTATCAGCAAGACTCCTCATTAATCGGCGAGCAGACCAATTCGCCAACTGTTTCCATCTGTACGTGGGGGATAGAGCGTTGCCCCCTCTCGCAAGGCCGATGGGTTTTTTCCGGGTGCCCCGGTTTCCTCCCCACTTGTATTAGCGGCTGAAAATATCATACGAATAGAAACCCGGCGAAGCGGCAGCAGGACCCTGATGATAGAAAGTTCCAGGGCTCTGTGTGGCTCCCCTGGATAAAGAAGTGAATGATTTAGAATGTATTGCCATTCACCAGTGGATTCACAATAATACTTTCATTTGATGTAGCGTAATTCATGCCAACAGCATCCCACAACGCTGAACATTAATTGTATATTCACCAAATCCCTTATTACAGCCACTGCCGAGCTAATTAAATCCCTACTGCTACCACCACTGGCAAGCGAAATGAAAAATGAATAAACGACTTAAGAAATGGCACCACAACAAAGAGAACAAACAACGACAGAAAGTTTCCACAACAAAGGAATCGTTTTGTGTATAGTACGGGAACTGAACTAATTTCCAGACGACTGCATTGGATAACCTCCGATTAGCACGGTTGGCTACGTAAAGTCCGAAAGAAGTTCAACGTACATACATACGAGTCATTGCTATGCCGTGGTCATTCTGAACCCCTATTCCTAGAGAGAGCGCATCTGTTTTGTTAAACTAAGCACCGTAGCTTTGATCCAGAATCATCGCCAGTCTGGTTCAGTGTCTCACACTCTCACACGTGGCCATTCTGAACCCCTATTCCTAGAGAGAGCGCATCTGTTTTGTTAAACTAAGCACCGTAGCTTTGATCCAGAATCATCGCCAGTCTGGTTCAGTGTCTCACACTCTCACACGTGGCCATTCTGAACCCCTACTCCTAGAGAGAGCGCATCTGTTTTGTTAAACTAAGCACCGTAGCTTTGATCCAGAATCATCGCCAGTCTGGTTCAGTGTCTCACACTCTCACACGTGGCCATTCTGAACCTCATTGAGAGAGAGAGAGAGACCCACACCCGGGGCTCGAACCCAAAAACTCGGTGGTGCTGGCTCCGTGTCTCTGACACGGCCATTATGTTTCAGATGTGGCCATTATGAACCTCATTAAGAAAGTGAGAGAGACACCCAGACCCTGGTTAGCAGTTTCCTGTTCGACAACAATCTATTACATTTCGATTTGAAGCTTTCGTGACTGCAGGGATTCATCTTCTTGGTTATTTAGGTAAAGTCACGTAGAATGGAAAAAATAAAATAATAAAAATAAAACATAAATTATTTTATTATTTTTTATTTTTTATTATTTTATTTAAAAAATAAAACATGAATTATTTTATTATGTTTTATTTTTATTATTTTATTATTTCCATTCGACGTGACTTTACCGAAAGAACCAAGCAGATGAATCTATTACATCTCAAACAATCTGGGTTCCGAAAAAAATACAGCACCACATCTGCTGCATTAGACAATCTCTAAAGAAGCTTGACTCAATTTATCACTCGGCCTTAAGATTTGCATTGAACTGCCCATATAGGACTCACCACTGTGATCTCTACATTGGGTCAAACTTAACATCTCTTAATGTTCGATGGCTTGTGCACCAGATCTTATTTATTCACGATGTACTTACAAAACAATCCGCAGATTACCTGCTGGATCTCCTCTCTGTTTCGAAGAACAAATGTGACCTAAGGTCTTCGCTCATTTACCAGCTTCACATTCCTTATTGCCGTACAAATACTGGAGGAAGGGCCTTTGCTATTGAGGCCCCCCAAGGTCTGGAATGCAATTGCCAATAAACTGCCACTTGAATCACTACCTGTGAGATCTTCACTCAAAACTGCTCTAGAGGAGTTGTACACCCCTAGCTGCCACTGCTATTCAGTGGCCTGAAATCAAATGTTTTCGTTCTGGATGACCGCTGCAACATATGATCTTTTGTTTTGACTTAGTGTACTGATCTTTAAAGGTGCATTTGAAAAATGTTGATACTCCTACTGATGCTCCTGCTGTTGTGGAGTGACTCATGCAGCCAGCTATGGCTACAGGGTTTGGTGGTACATGTTGTTTGTGTCGTTTATTGTGAAATTTCGGTCACAGTTCCTATGATCACTGTTACATTTCTTATGGCTTTATTTTGGTGATTTTCGAAAAGTTTTTTGGTTTGGCCATGTTTGTTTGTTGTAGTACGGAGTAAGAATGATGGCTTTAATCTAAGTTGTCTTGTGGTTGTTGTTGTTTGACTTGCATCCCACTGGGATTTTTGCACAGCGTTGGTGTACGGTGCTTTTTTTCTGGAAGAAATTGCAGTTTTTTCCTGGATTTTTATGTTTGCGCATGATCACTTTAAGATGTTTTCTTGTTCCTGTTTTAGTTTTTTGTTTGTTGCGGTTGCACTCGATTCAAGAGCCGAATGGCTCACAGGGCTATACTGTACCAAATAAATGAAACTGAAAACTGAAACTGGGTTGGGACCCAGGGTCTCAATACTTCTGGCTCAGTGTCTCTGACACGGCCATTCCGAGCCTCATTACGCAAGACACAGAGACACGAGACTGACTTTGGGCTTGAACCCAAGTCAGCATCTCTGTCACGGCAAACACACAGAGACTCGCCTAGACAAACTACGGGAGGGGGGTGGTGGTGGTGGTGGTTGAGGAGTACGACCGCTCTCGTTGAACAACATTTTTTTAAACAAAGAATGGAAATTCCGAAAGCACGAGTTCACCTCTTGCAGCTGCAGCTTGCCATCGGACGTCACGTCGTAGATCTCCATGAACCTGCTCTTGACGTCGTACAGCTCCTTGTCGCCAAGGTCGCTCTGCGGAGGGAACGCGCCAAGCGGTCACGTGCATTGAAGCGCTCATTTTGCACAACGGCGAACGCACAAGTGCGGTCTAACAGCGACCGCGGTGGCGCGATATTAATTTCAACGACCTCGCCTGGTGTGCAGGAAGTCGTGGGTTCGATCCCGACTCTGACCGCCTGCCGTGTATTTGGAGTTATTGTCTTTGAGTTGCGCGGCCTTTTTGCGTCATTTGGTCCAACGCCATGTGAGACTAGGCTCTAAGAAAAGCTGTCTCGGGTGTGGACCAATTTCAAGGACAGTGCATACATTATCAGAGTTGTGTTTTTTGTTTGCATTCCGACCGCAGGTATTGTGGTCAATGCAAACATGAGTCAGTGTAAAAAAGGGTGTCAGTTTTGTTGCCAGATAAAAGGGTAAAAAAACAATTCTCATATTTTGCTACTGGCAAAGGAGGTTCCAATGGAGTTTAGTTTGAGTTTAAACGTGGAACTCGGTTGCAAAGCACAACAAGACGTTGTGGAATCATCATCATCATCATCATCTCCATCATCATCATCAAAGTACTAATTTATTTCAAAAGTGCTCGAACAAGAGTCACCAAGCGGTGGTTTCTCAACAGCTAAAATTCATTTTTCACAAATAAGCGGCGCTACTCAGACGTCGTGGAGAAAAAATTAACCCGTAAAAACAAAGTTTTTTACTATATTTACTTTATATGCGTGGCATCGGTTTTATTTTTTTATTCATTTCAGTTTTTCTTGAGTAAGAGTTTCATTTTTATCACATTGGTATTTTAAATTAAATATGAAATATTTTTTTTCCTAAAAAGAGGAAAATTTTGGAAAAAAAATTTTCACCAATATAAATTGTCACGCACAACGAGTCTGTGTGCAAAATGTCAGCTCGATTGGATCACGGGAAGTGGGTTAAAAAACGACCGAAAGATTTGCACGGTCGTAAGCGCGCAAGCAAGCAAGTGAACTTAATATAAAGGATTTAAAAATGCATCCCATTAGCGACATTCATCAACGTTTAGCGGAGCACTGCACTTAAACTAAACAACCATTTTTTTTTATTTTACCACGTAAGGCCCTAATGAGGTCTGTAGCTCTTTTTTTTCAGAAGCGACTTTGCCACAAATGATGTCTCAACGAAGTGGGCTTATCATCATTATCATCATCACGTGGGAATTTATAGCAGCAGCGAATTACTCTAAACGCGTGGTGATGCTGATTCTAAACGTGGAGGGGAAAAACCGGAGGAACCCAGTGTAAAAATCCACGCGACCACGGAGAGAGAGACGCGCAAACTCCAAATATACAGCAGCAGGCGTCCGGGTTGGGATCATCATCATCAAAGTATTTACTTGAAAGGTGTTCGAACAAGAGTCAGTGTGCAGTGGTTTTCCCAACAGCTTACCTGTCAACCCATACGGTTCACCGCGTATTTTTCTACGGGAAAATTGAGTCTGCAGGTCCACACGGCGTACAACCGTTTCAATACGGGCAAAACAAATTGTTTTGTCCATTTCCGTGTGTTTCTCCCTTGTGATGGGACTTTGTAGGATGAACGTTGAGATTTATACGAAGCACGGGGCGACCAAGGTCTGAATGTGGTCTGTATTAAGGCAGGCAGCTGATAAGGGCTCACGAGGTATGCAACAGCCACATTTCACAGATAAGAGGAGTGGAGACAAATACATCCCATTAGTCGCGTTTCGTCACCGCTTAGCGAAGCGTCGCACTGGAACTGGCCACGATTGTCAGCTCATTGAAGCGGCTCACCCTGCGGAGATTTAAATCAGCTAAATTCTCGTTTGGCGCCAGTTGGATTCCATCTCCCGGCGCGGCAGCAGACACAATGGTGATGGCGGTGGGGGGGGGGTGCTAAGTTTATTAAATCTCCCTCCCCTTGGCCTCTATCCACCCAGCAGCGAAATCGGCCACAGCCGCAGTCAACCGATGACCAGGAGCCAGTGTGGCTGGCTCCCACCACCCTTCCAAGGCACGTGACCGGCGTGGAAAGCGAAGGCCGACATCAAAGGGACCCTTCACAGCCGAGCTCCCACGAGTGGAATGGCAGCGCATCTTCCACCGGCAGTGACGCGAGCTAGGCTGTTGCAGGGCTGCTCCTTCACCTCGCACCTTACCCCCCCCCCCCCCCCGCCACCTCCATTGCCCTCGCCCAACACACTCGTACAGTTATTCCAATTTGGCTGTCGGCGTCGCCGTTGTCACGGGGTGACCGATGCGTTCGTTTGGGCTCTCCCACCGAGCGGGGAGGCATCTCCCCCTCGTTAGAGGGCGGCCTTCCTCGGCGGTGGCCGTGGGAGGAGGAGGAGGAGGAGGGGGGACAGGAGGGGTCGATGTCTTTGAACTCCTCCATTTAATTGCCCTCTCCACCACGCTTCAAGGTTTCGACAGCTTCCCACACGCACCCCCCTCGCCCTGCAGAGACGTCAGCCTCACGGCGAGCCGACCGGGTTTACTTGTTGTATGTTATAAGCACGTGTCTACAAAGCTGTTCTCCTGTAACGCGATGATAAATGTATTGTAGGGAACAGGTTTTTTTTTATTATTATATATCACGCGGATGCGAATTGGGTATAACGCGATCGAGCGAACGGAAGCACGTCACAGTGCGAGTTTGGAATAAGCGGGTAGCATCGTCGCACAGGGCAGTGGGATACTGCTAGATGCTTCCTGATAATCAAAATTATTATTATATATCACGCGGATGCGAATTGGGTATAACGCGATCGAGCGAACGGAAGCACGTCACAGTGCGAGTTTGGAAAAAGCGGGTAGCATCGTCGCACAAGGCAGTGGGATACTACTGGATGCTTCCTGATAATCAAAATTATTATTATATATCACGCGCGGATGCGAATTGGGTATAACGCGATCGAGCGAACGGAACCACGTCGCAGTGCGAGTTTGGAATAAGCAGGTAGCATCGTCGCACAAGGCAGTGGGATACTACTGGATGCTTCCTGATAATCAAAATTATTATTATATATCACGCGCGGATGCGAATTGGGTATAACGCGATCGAGCGAACGGAACCACGTCGCAGTGCGAGTTAGGAATAAGCGGGTAGCATCGTCGCACAAGGCAGTGGGATACTACTGGATGCTTCCTGATAATCAAAACTATTATTATATATCACACGCGGATGCGAATTGGGTATAACGCGATCGAGCGAACGGAAGCACGTCGCAGTGCGAGTTTGGAATAAGCGGGTAGCATCGTCGCACAAGGCAGTGGGATACTACTGGATGCTTCCTGATGCTAGCCACGCGCAACCTCCTTCTTTGTTCGGCCGTGCGTGCAGATGTCACGTGTTATTGCGGACTGTGATCTACCCCCTAAATTCTAGACGATCCATTATAACGCGATTTAAACATCACGCGCCGTTTCTTCAGGCGTGCAACAACGACTACCGCGTCACAGGAGAACAGGAGAGTGTGCGTCGAAAACTTCTTTCGCATCATACGCAGCCGACCGTGCTGAGCGGAGGGTTTTAAATCCCAGACAAAATCGAAGTGATTTCCTGCCAAACATCTCGCTGGATTCGAGATGTTTGGGGGCGAGCGGTGTCCAGAGCGAGTAGTTTGCGGGGATGCGCCTTTATCTGCGCGCTCTGCCGTCGAGACGGCCTTCAATGTGTCGCCGCTGCAAACCTCCCTGGCGAATATCTCCCCTTGAGTGGCGCTTCGCTTTAATCAAAATCATATCGCACCGTGAATAACGCTGCGATCCTTTATTTAATCAGGCGTGGCGCAGTGCGTCAAGACGAGGGGGGGGTGTATGGCCTGATTCGTTATTGAGTTTTAATTTTTTTTTTAAGAATAAGATTTGTTTCGTGTCGGAGGAAACCAGATTTTTCCCGAAGAAATCCAGCTCAAATAATAAAAATCATCATCATATTCAACGAATTCGTGACTTGGCAATGGTGCACGAGTAGCATTAACTAACAAAAACAAACAAACAACACGTTTGTCAACGGCACTGTGGGCAGCTATTGATTTGTATATACACACAGTATATTTTCTCATTGTATAGAATTCAAAACAGATATATATCTGTTTAAGAATCGATGTTACGATGGCGCTTTGAGTGGCAGATTTGCGCCGGGAAGGCTCCACACGTGTGTGAGCTGAATCACAATGTGCGTGAATTGCCGTAATGATACATAATTACACATAACTAGGAATAGGCCGATGTTTCAGGCAACGGGCCTTCTTCGTGGGCCACGTATAGAAAGTCCAGCACGGTATGGAGTCCGAGGGGGAGAGAGATAAGAGTTCGACACTTCCACTTGTTTAATTCTAGATTTGAAGTTTTCGTGACTGCAAGAATCCATATTCGGTAAAGTCACATAGGAAAAAAAAAATAGTTGTTTTAATTTAGTAATTTAATTTAAATTTAGTTAGTTCAACACGTAGGCTTTCGCGACCAATATTATTCATAATCAACGTTTTTGGGTTTAGATCGCGTTATTTATAAATGTGTCGTAACCCTCCACCACCCGACACGGCCAATCAGTAAAAAAGTGTCACGTTGACAATTTAGTTGTTTGTATTTTTATTTCATTATTTTTTTACCTACGTGACTTTACCGAATAAAACCAAAGAGCATTCCACTTGTTTATTTAGACCGTGGGCCTGGTTGAGAGTGGCGCGTTTGAATGACGAGCGGTGCTTGAAGAACCACGTGAACAGCTGCACCGATACAGCAGGAGCTGCTAAGTAGCAGGCAAGCCACGCAAATCCTTCAATAATTAATCACGAAGCGTGACGAATTCTCGCCGGGGTCCCCACGGTGTAAACAAATGCCACCCGAAACGTCGCCGATTAAAATGTTTGCTATCACGCTAAGTCCACACACATTGTTATTTATTGACAAAATGTCGAGTTTTTTTTTTCTTCGCAATAAAGGTTAGACGATCTAACCCAAACAACCTTAGACGATCTAACCCAAAAACCCTTTATTGTGAATAATATTACTCTTTGCTTCTTTCGGTGAAAGTCACGTAGGTATAAAATAAAAAAAAACGGAATAAATCACAACGTTTCGATCGCAACACAAGCGGTCGTCCTCAGGCAGAATAAAAAATAATCCAGCAGTGGAGCTGCTGAACTCGCGAGAGAGTGGCTACGACAACAAGGCTATAGATGTGGCGATGGGCAAGCAAGCGGGGTCTTTACCCAAAGAACCAGAGTAATGGATTCCTGCAGTGACGAAAGCTTCATATCAAGATTGAATAATATTGGCCGCGAAAGCCTCCGTGCGAAATCTAGATTTGAAGCTTTCGTGACTGTAGGGATCCATTACTCTTTGCTTCTTTGGGTAAAGTCACGTAGGTAGGAAAAAAAGATCACGACGTTTCGATCGCAACAACAACAAGGAACCGTCTTCAGGTGAGAGAAAGAAACAAGCCACTGTGACGTTGCACCTGAAGACGGCTGCTTGTGTTGCGATCGAAACGTCGTGATCTATTAATTATTTATTTTTCTACCCACGTGACTTTACCGAAAGAACCAAATAGTGAGAATTCCTGCAGTCACGAAAGCGTCAAATCAAGATTGAACCGCCTCTACGGGGAAGATTTCCACACAACTCAGATATCACTTCAACCGAGAAGATGGATCCAAAACTTGGCAATCTTTAGAAGGACGTTGATCAAGCAGGTAAAGTGTTCACTGTTGTGTTGGCCGACTCTCCGAGTTGCATTACATTTATAAGTCTGCTAAGTTTGGATCTTTTTAAATCCTTTATATTAAGTTCACTTGCTTGCTTGCTTGCGCGCTTACGACCGTGCAAATCTTTCGGTCGTTTTTTTAACCCACTTCCCGTGATCCAATCGAGCTGACATTTTGCACCAGACTCGTTGTGCGTGACACTTTCTTTTCGTGAAAAGTTTTTTCCAAAATTTTACACTTTTTAGGAAAAAAGCAAATTATATTTAACTACCAATTGCTTAATGGTGGCAGGCAATCATCTGACCCATAGGTGGCAGCCATCTCAAGCCAGAGGACGAGAGGACTCTAGCCGCCACGCATATAAAGGATTTATAGTGAAAAACTTTGTTTTTAAGGGTTAATTTTTTTTCTCTCTCACCTCGTTCCCTCTTTGAATTTCACCCCCAGACTTTCACCCGTTATGGCAGCCCCTCCCCTCCCTCCCCCCCTAGGATCGATATAATGCCCCCGTCACAGCATGCGTGTTTCTCTCTCACCTGAAGACGGTTGCTTGTTGTTGTTGCGATCTAAACGTCGTGATCTATTTATTATTTGTCTATCTACGTGACTTTACCGAAAGAACCAAAGAGTTCCTAAGTGTTAAACTCAGTTTGTATTTTTATTATTATGTTATTGTTATTTTGTTTGCTTGTGGACCACTGCCAACGCAGCTGCAGCTGCAGCAGCATCACCGCCGAGTAACTCATTGAACAAAGAAGGCTGCTTCAAAGTTGGTCTCGAGGCAAACGTGTGCGAAATGTGACCGCGCAACAAATGTATGGAAACAAAGTAACTCGAGGGGATGGGACCCCGCTCGCTGATTACTAATCTAGTATATAATTACAATAACCCCCCCCCTCAAATCGTTGCACCTGATGAGTTAATGATGACGTCACCCTGCTGCTGCTGCTGCTCTATATAAGAACGGGAGACACAGCAGAGCCTCACCATTCTGGCGAATTGCCCCATGATGCTGGATACAATTACCAGCGAAACGTCGTGCTACTCAAATTGTAAATGTTGTGGTTTCACGCTTCAACACACCGGTGGGCTAAAGCAGTGAACTATTTGTCCTTTGTCAACGTGACACTTTTTAAATCCTTTATATTAAGTTCGCTTGCTTGCTTAGAACCGTGCAAATCTTTCGGTCGTTTTTTAACCCACTTCCCGTGATCCAATCGAGCTGACATTTTGCACACAGACTCGTTGTGCGTGACAATTAATGTTCGTGAAATTTTTTTCCAAAATTTTACTACTTTTAGGACAAAAATATTATATTTAATTACCAATTGCCTAATGGTGCAATGCAATCATCTGACCCATAGGTGGCAGCCATCTCAAGCCAGAGGACGAGAGGACTCTAGCCGCCACGCATATAAAGGATTTATAGTGAAAAACTTTGTTTTTACTGGTTAAACTTATTTACTGATTGGCCGTGTCGGGTGGTGGAGGGTTACAACACATTTATAAATAACGCGATCTAAACCCAAAAACGTTGATTATGAAACCTCCCACGGCTCAATGCGTGGCATGCGCGCTCGCCAGGAGATTGTTCGAAGGTGGATGAGCAAACGGAACGTCGTTTCGTGTTCAGTTTGTTTAACGCGCAGTAGCGAGGCTTTCGCGAGGAATATCACCCGTAAGAGGCTTCTGTGTGTGTGGTTATATCGCGTAAATGTCAATGTGTCGTGAAAACCCACCACCACCCGACACAGCCAATTGGTAAGGTCACGTTAACAGAACCTGACAAATTTCGATTTAAAGCTTTCGTGACTGCAGGGATTCATCTTCTTGGTTCTTTCGGTAAAGTCACGTAGAAGGGAAATAATAAAATAATAAAAATAAAACAATAAATAATTCTCACGACGTTTCGGCCACAACGCAAGCAGCCGTCCTCAGGTGAAGAACAGGTCTGTCGGAAAGACAGCGTCTGATTTAAAGCTTTCGTGACTGCAGGGATTCATCTTCTTGGTGAATATGCAGCAGTGTGGTGTGCAGTAGGGTGGGTAGAATAATACATAGCGTAATATTACGTAAATATGCTAAAATTACTCTTGATATGCAAATTATTTTGTCAAGGCGCTCTTCCTCCTCCCTCCCAGCTTAAATAAACGCTCCAAGCCCAGGACGTGTCATTCAGACTCTGTCTTATTGACAGACCTGTTCTTCACCTGAGGACGGCTGCTTGCATTGTGGCCGAAACGTCGTGAGAATTATTTAATTATGTTTTATATTTTTTTATTTTATTATTTCCCTTCTACGTGACTTTACCGAAAGAACCAAGAAGAAGCACCTGACAATTCGTTACGAGCACAGCACAGCACACCGGTTGCGTTGGAGAGCAAATCCACAACGTTGCCGTTGTTAATGCTATTTGTCTAGTGGTGGCGGGTTTAACGACACATTTATATTTACGCGATCTAACCCAAAAAACACCGGCATTATGGATGCGTTTAGTTTGTTATCGTTCTCCCCCACCTCCAGTTAGCACGGTTGGCTACGTACGGTGCGAAAGAAGTTCAACATACAGTACGTACACTATACACTACATATTACACTACACTATATACTACTAAACACGACACTAAACACTACACTATACACACTGCAATACTATACACTGCATCACGATACTACATTTTAAACTCATTTCTTGAGACCTGCTTTTTGTGAAACGGAAAGCAAAGATCGAGAACACAACGGAAAGACGAGAGCGGTGGGAGGGAGGGTGAGAGGCAAAGAGAGAGAGAGAGAGAGACGGGAAAGAGAAGAGACGTGAATATGGAGAGCGAGGGTGAGAGGTGAGAAAAAAAAGAGAGGTGAGAGAGAGAGAAACGGGGTGGGGGGGGGGGGGAACTGGGTGAGACAGAGAGAGTGGGGGGGGAGGTCTATTTGAGAAACGGAATAGAAACAAAGATCAATCAGGACATCGAGATTGATTGGGATTATACAGCACAGAGAAGGCAAAATAACGGTAGAGAGTGAGCAGGACTCTGTGTACGAATAAAAGTTTTGCTGGCTGGCTGAGAGGGTCGGACGGCCACGTCAAGAGGGCGTGCGCGGCTTGCTTGCATGCCACATCCAAAAAACAGAGGTCGCAACCGGGTACCCGATACCTGTACCCTACCCGATACCCGGCTACCTGTACCCGGCCGGGTACGGGTACGGGTAGCCGTTTGCGACCCTGGTGTGGCCGGGTACGGGTAGTCCGTGAGTCATTGGTGAGTCACCGTTTGTCACTCATTTCCCAACGTCTTGTCTCTTCTCACAATTCAAGTTCCTAGAACCAACCCACCCGCGCCTGCAACATGGCTTCATCCCAGAGGTCGCAAATGGGTGCCCGTACCCGGCTGGGCACGAAACCCGTTTGCGACCTCTGCCAAAAAAAGGAGCAGCATTATTCAGCAAAGAGCCGCACATGAGCAGAACGGAGTTCTCTTTTGGGGAGCTGAATTTCACGTGGGCTGTACCATGTGGTTTTTTTATAGTGGATCGGGGGAGTGCATCACTGTGGACTGTACCAAATTCTTGCACACAGTGTTGGTGTACGGTGCTTTTTCTGAAATATGTTGCTGTCTTTTCTTGGATTTTCTGCTTGCACATAGTCACTTTAAGATGTTTTCTTGTTCATGTTTTAGTTTTTTGTTGTTGCGGTTGCACCCGATTCAAGAGCCGAATGGCTCACAGGGCTATACATGAACTTGAACTTGGTTTTATAATGCAGTTGGGGGGGGGGGGCACTCGGGTGAAATACTACTCACCCCAAATCCCAGGCTGGCAAGAAGATGCCGAAAGAAGAGGTCCAATTCTTTCCCCTCGATGTAGCCATTACCTGCGCCCACACACAACAGCGACAACAACAAAGACCGCCAGCTTAGCGTCAGATGCAGGCAGACACGTGCGTCACCACCGCAACAATTGCAGAGGAAGCCACAAAGGTTTATAATAAGTATAACCCGTAAAAACAAAGTTTTTCACTATAAATCCTTTATATGCGTGGCGGCTAGAGTCCTCTCGTCCTCTGGCTTGAGATGGCTGCCACCTATGGGTCAGATGATTGTCTGCCAGTATTAAGCAATTGGTAATTAAATATTTAATTTGTTTTCCCTAAACAGTGTAAAATTTTGGAAATGTTTTTCACGAACATTAATTGTCTGGCACAACGAGTCTGTGTGCAAAATGTCAGCTCGATTGGATCACGGGAAGTGGGTTAAAAAACGACCGAAAGATTTGCACGGTCGTAAGCAAGCAAGCAAGCACGCAAGCAAGCAAGCAAGCACGCAAGCAAGCAAGCAAGTGAACTTAATATAAAGGATTTAAAAATGATACAATCATACACTCGAACAAAACTAGGTTGAAGTGTAGCGGATGTATTTTATGTTAAAATGACAATCGGCAACTGTTTGATGTACGAATTACAAGAGCCTTCCTGAAATCCATTGCTACTGTAATACTCTTCAAGACGCGTGTGGACAACGTGGTAAGGCACACGTATTTATTTGCACAATGTCTTACAGCACTGGAGGGATGTATCGGCCCCCTCACCCGTACAACTGGGAATTCACCCCTAGCTAGCCTTCCTAGCCGAGTCCTCCGCTAACGGGCTAGGGGAGGCTATCTGGCCCGACACTGGTTAGTCGGGCTACGGTACCCGGAATCCCAGAGATCTAACTCTGGTTCCGGGACCACGCCACTGGCTCCAGCCTGCGCTGCCCTTACAAGGGCGGCGTCCCAGGGGGAGTCCAGGGCCTATCTGGCCGGTCTTCTCTCTTCCCTTAACTACCCTAAGACTGAGCCCCGAGCCCTCTGGCTCATCCCTTTTTATACCCCCCTAGAGGATCGAAACCCCCCTCACGCCGTCCAGTGCGGACGTCGTTGCGGGCACCACCCCGTGTGCTCACGGAGTCCCCGCCCACTGTGTTTGTTATCCGTTAGCCCTTATGCAAACAGCCCCACACAAACAGCCCTACATCACCCCCCCCTGTACAGCTCGCAGCCGTCCCGGCTGCAACAACTTTCAATAAAGGTTATTTAACCCCTGGATCCCCGCGTGTGCCTTAAAAAACGTTTTTAACACTAACATGAAGGAACCAACAGTAACAACAACAACAACAATGACAACAACAAAACCTACAACCCCGAAGGGAACAATCCGACGCACCCCCCCTGAATAAATACGAATACCGTAAGAGCGACGTATATATACAGGTTTTGCAGGGAACTCCCAGCACGCATGCAACACAACAAGAAAAATGTGGTAGGAGTTCCCCACCGACGCAACACCCCGCAACCGTACGTAAGGGAGAAGAAGAAAAAAAAATGTTCGTCCAATGCATTATAAGAGTCTGCGCATTTTAGCGCGCGTCCTTGCTGCCGGCCCGTCACACGGGGCAATCCCGGGTGGCGAACCCGCCGGTGGCGGTTGTTCGCCTTGTATAGAGTCCGCGTCTGACGTCGCGAGACCCTCGGCGTCCCTCGCAGCAGTAGGTGGGTGCGAGCACGTCAGTCCCGGTGCACCTGTGGGTGGGACAGCCGGCGACACGTCAGGCGAGGGCAGTGAGGACGGACCACCTGAGTCGGCCGACCCCCCACATGTTTGGCCATGCTTGTGTGGAGTGGGGCCTCGCACCGCAACGAATGGTTTTAGCCTCGAGGGGTGCACAAACCACCGGCGCTTCCCCCATTTGATGCGAACACACTGAGGCCGCAGAACCTCGACCACCTCCACGGGCCCCCTCCACGGCCGCGCCAGTTTAGGGGATGTTGCGAGCGGTACCTGGGGGCAGTGCAGCCATGCTCTGTCCCCCGGCTTCCACTGCAGCACGTGCGCGCGACCCAGTCTAAGGCGCTCGTTAGCTTTTTGACGCTGCTCCGAATTTAACATGGCAGCATCCCGTGCCTCCGTCAATTTTTGAAGGTTAAATTTGACATGGTCAATTAATTTAGTTTTCCCTAGTGGTGTGGGGATCTGCAGCTGCGCTCGAATGGGTGGGTCAGGGCCGCGTCCGTACATGAGGAAAAATGGCGAAAATCCCGTTGCAGCATGGGGGGCCAATCGGTATGCTGCCAAGACCCCTTGGATTTTCAAGTCCCAATCCGTCTGTGAGTCCGAAACCTGCTGTGATAACATAGACGAGATGGTGCGATGCAGACGCTCGACCATCCCGTCAGTTTGCGGGTGATAGGGGGAAGTACGAATCTTTTTCGTTCCCAGGAGCTCACAAACCTGCTGGAGGAGTTTCCCGGAAAAATTTCTACCCTGGTCGGTCAGCAGCCGTTCCGGGGCACCTTTGTCCATGACATAGCCTTGGACAAAGGCGTCGACGATGGCTGCTGCCGACTGATTGGCCAGGGGCCAGGCCATAGGCCAGCGCGTAAAATACTCGACCCCGGTTAACAAGTATCTGTTTCCCCTAGGGGTGGCGGGGAATGGGCCCAGAATATCCAGCGCGACCAGTTCGTTTACTCTGGAGACCCTGATAGACTGCAAGGGCGGGTTAGATTCTCGCGCTGGTGGTTTCCGCTGTGCACACCTCGGGCATGAAGCCAATAGATCAGGGACATCCCTCGTCATTCCTTGCCAAAAGAAATCACGTTGGAGCAAGGCGAGGGTCTTTTGGGTACCCAGGTGGAGGAGGCGCTCGTGAGCAGCCCACACCACCCTACCCCGTAAGCCCGAAGGGACCACCAGCCGGTGTCGGTGGGATTTCCCGTCCCAGTGCAACAGCAACCCCGCGTGTATTTCCCATGCGTCGGCATCACCCGATCCCCGCCCTGCCTCCCCGGCGCGACGACGCAACGCGAGGAGGGAGGTGTCCTCCATCTGGAGGCGCCCCCATTCCTGGATGTGCAAACCCAACAGGGAATCTTTCCCTTGTTGTTCAATGGAACTCGGAACAACCGTCCCGCCGTCGGCGGCAGCCGCAAGGGCCGGAACCGACCCGTCCCCTGCTGGTTTGCAACGTCCCGACCCCAGGAGGCACGCGCATTCCGAGGTGGTTGGCATACGCGACAGAGCGTCCGCGTTGGTGTGGCGGACGCCCTTACGGTATGTGGTGGCAAAATCAAAATCCTGGAGGATCTCCAACCAACGGGACAATTGTCCCGATGGCTGTTGAACTCGCAGGGCGTACTGCAGTGCCGCATGATCTGTGCGGACGGTGAAACGCCGACCGTACAGATATGGGCGATACTGTTGGATGAAATAGACAATTGCCAACAGTTCTCTGCGGGTAACACAATATCTTTGCTCTGCTTGAGACAACACCCGACTGCCGTACGCAACCACCCGTTCGACGCCGTCAACCACCTGGGAAAGCACGCCCCCAATACCCATGTTGCTCGCATCGGTGTCGAGCAGGAACGGCTTTGAAAAATCAGGGTAGATCAAGGGAGGAGCTTTTACCAAGGCGTCCCGAAGGGAGCAAAAAGCAGCCTCCTCCTCTTGACCCCAGTGGAACCGGACCCCCTTAGATGTTAATGCGTGTAGGGGTTTTGCAATTGTTGCAAAGTCGGCGACGAACCGTCTGTAATATGACGCGAAGCCGACAAAACTCCTAACCTCTCCCACCGTGGTGGGAGTTGGCCAGGAGCTGACACACTGCGTTTTGGCGGGATCGGTAGCAATACCCGAGCGCCCTACGATGTGCCCCAAATAACGCACGGAATCGCGTAACAAATGACACTTTTGGGGTTTGAACTTCAAATTAGCAGCCCGCATCTTTAGGAAAACCGCCCGCAACCTCTGGAGATGTTCGTCAAAAGTTTTAGCGAAGACAATAACATCATCTAAATAAATCAGGCACGACTCCCATTGCAATCCAGCCAAAACCAATTCCATCAAACGTTGGAAGGTTGCCGGCGCTGAGTGTAAGCCCATCGGCAACCGATTGAATTGGAACAGGCCGTGCGGTGTACGGAAAGCAGTTTTAGGTTTCGATTCATCATCCAGAGGAAGCTGCCAGAATCCCGAAAGTAAATCCAGCATGGAGAAGAATCGCGCTCCCGCCAAGGCGTCCAGCGATTCGTCCATCCGTGGGAGCGGGTATGCGTCGGCAACCGAAATTTTGTTAAGGCGCCGAAAATCAACGCAAAACCGCAACGAGCCGTCCTGCTTTTTAACCAGGACGATCGGCGCTCCCCAAGGGCTGGTAGAGGGAGAAATAATGTCGGCGGCTAACATGTCATCAACAGCCAATTTGACATGGTCCTTTTCGGCGGGACTCAACCGAAACGGATTTTGGCGAATTGGCGCGCTGTCACCCGTGTCAATATGGTGACGCAGCAGATGAGTACAACCCAAATCGTATTTATTCCGACTGAAAACGTCGGAAAATTCCTGCAGTAGCGATCTAAGCTGTTGGCGCTCTGAATTTGACAGGTCCGTCGATCCCGCACAAAGCGCGTCGAGCCACCCGTCATCGCTGTCCGAATGTGGGTGCAGTTGGGTGGCGGTGCCGACGTGATTCGCAACCGGTTCCTCGCAGGGCATTGGTGTCGCGTGCGCAAGCACCGTCCCTCGAGGAACCACAACAGGTTGCGATCCCACATTGAGGACCGCGATGAAAGGGTCCCCATCTCCCCTCACAACGGTCAGGGCCGGGATCAACTGCGGTCCACTAACCCCGGCCCTAGACGGTCCCAACAAGATCCCGTGGGCCCCCATACCCTCTGCGAAGGGCCGACGGAGTTTTAGCGGTACTAACATCTGAGCCCCCGGCGGCACACGAACGGTTTCAACGACGGACGCTGCTTTGGTTACGAACGCCGTCCGAATCACCGAAGGGGAGGGTAAAAACGCCATGCGCCGTCCCGACGGGAGCTCAATACATC